ATATTTTTGAAACTAGAGAAACAGAAATTGGACATAATATGTCTTCAAGAGATTCATATTAAACTACAAGATCAGATATATTTACAAAACAAAAAACTGGGGAAATTATATACATCACTAGCAGAGGAAAAAGAGAGAGGAGTAGCATTATATATTAAAGAAGAAATAGAGTCGAAATTGATTTATAATGATATGATTGGAAGAATATTAATTGTAGAGGTGGTTATACAAAATAAAAAGATTTTACTAGTAGGGATATATGCCCCTAATACAAATCAAAATGAATTTTATAAAACCCTATATGAGAAACTAATAGAATTAGGAAATTCCATGATCTGCATAATTGGCAATTATAATGCAATTTCTAATAATAAACAGGATTATGCCAGTGACCAAAAACATTAAAAAACAAAAACAAAATATACTTTCTAAATGTTTTTTTTGATATGGCCAAAGAACTAGATTTAGTAGATGCATGGAGGAAATTGAACCCAGGGGTGACTCAATTTACTTTCTACTCCAATCCACATAAATCTTGGTCAAGGTTAGATATGGCATGGGTGAATAATGATCTGTTTAAGGACATACAAAATATAGAGATGTCAACTAATACTTGGGTAGACCACAATCCGTTGCAGATAGTCTTGAAAGATCAAACTCACAAAAAAAGTAGGTGGACACTTAATCCACAACTATTGAAAGAAAAATGGTATACTCAAAAAATTAAGGAAGAATTAGATGTATTTTTTAAATTTAATAAAAAACAGGATACCTCATTGCAAACTCTGTGGGACACAATGAAGGTGTATTTAAGGGGAATATCTATAGCTATACGGCCAACAGAAATAAGGAAAAGTGGAAGAAACAAAATTTGTTAACGAAAAGAATAAAGGATCTAGAAGATAGATTACTGAAAGCCTCAGGGGATGAACAGATTAGAAATGATTTGACATTACTTAAACATGAATTGAATATGTTAGATCAGGAAGATTTAGCTAAGATACTGCTATATACAAAACAAAACCATTTGGAACACACAAACAAACCTGGTAGATGGCTAGCGTATAAATTGAAAAAATAAAATAAAAAAAGAACTATATATCAATTGAAAGATAACAACGGAATAATAGAGACGGACTTGAGGAAAAAGAAAACAATTGTAAGAGATTACTTCGAGAATTTATATAATCAAGATGTAACAGAATCGAATAAAATAGAGGAATATTTGAAAGAAAGCACACTACATCCACTTATGGAAGATAAGAGGGAGATACTAAATAAGGAAGTAACTTTAGATGAGTTAAAAGAAGCGATCAATAGACAATAAAACAACAAAACCCCAGGTCCAGATGGTCACTAGAAAATCTGCTTCTAGAAATTTGCAATGAGGTATTATTAGAAGCAAGACTCCCTGAATCATGGAAGGAGGCCTATGTTATATTGATCCCTAAAGAGGGGTGCAGATGCCAACCAAATAAAAAATTATAGACAATATCCCTTTTGAATACAGATTACAAAATGTTTCTGAGTGTGATGGCGGAAAGATTGAAGATAATTCTTAATGATGGGATCCATCCTGACCAGAATGGATTCCTTCCCACGAGACAGATTAGAAACAACACAAGAACTATAATTGATGTATTAGAATTTTATGAGACACAGTCAAGTTGCTCTTGTCTTCCTGGTGCGCAATAGGCATTTGATAACCTAAATTGGAACTTTATGAAATGTCAGATAAATTTGATGAAATTTGGTGACAACTTTGCAAAGATGTTACATTCAATCTACTCGACGCAGAAGGCAAGCGTAATGATAAATGGAGATTTTACTAATCCTTTTGAGATAAATAAAGGCATCAGGCAGGGATGCCCACTGTTGCCTCTGCTTTTCATAACAATATTAGAAACACTATTGGATAGAATTAGATTGAATGAGGAAATCAAAGGTACAAAGATTAAAAGACAAGAATACAAACTGCAAGCATTCGTGGATGATATGGCATTTATTATAGAATATCCAATAGATTCAGGACCAATATTATTAAGGGAAATTGATAAATTTGGTAAATTAGCAGGGCTGAAAATTAATAAAGAAAAGACTAAAATGTTCATCAAAAATTTAACAAATAACAGACAAAAAGAATTAGAGGAAATAATGGGACTACAAATTGTAAATGATCAAATATTTAGGTATTTGGTTAAGATCTAAAACGATAACCCTGAAGGAAGATAATTATACAAAAGTATTACGACAAATCGGAAGAGACTTGTGAAATTGGACTAAAATGCAGATCTCATTATTAGGCAGAATTGCCACAATCAAAATGAATGTTCTACCTAAATTGCTATACCTATTTCAAATGATCCCTATATTATCAGACAAATTTTTTAAAAAAGAGTTGGACAAAATTCTTACGAAATTCATTTGGGCAGGCAAGAAATCAAGAATTAAAAGAATTTACCTACAAGACAATAAAAGCAGAGGCGGCTTTGGACTCCCGGCTTGGGAGACCTATTATAGAGCAACAGTATTAGTGTAGATAAAGAATTGGATCAAATTGGAAAATAAAAGAATTCTAACACTAGAGGGCTATGACCTACAAATAGGGTGGCATGCCTTCTTGTGGAACCCGAATAGTAAAAGCCATTCATATTTCCATAGACATACTCTACGTAAATCTTTGATTAAAACTTGTAAAGATATCAGGAGAAATCACTATATTAAAGTCCCGACATGGTTATCAACAACGGAGGCAATATTCCACCCTAATACAATGGATATTAGCAAAAAGCTTAAATATCACCAAATCCGAGATAATGAAGGGAAACTTAAACTGATCCAAGATTTAGAAAATCAAGAAATAATTATTGATCGTTGGTCATATTTTCAAATAGCAATAAGATATGAGAAGGACTTAAAAGAATTTGGATTAGAAACAAAAAATACTCAACTTGATAAGATACTTTTGGGCCCAGAAAAAAATGTGATATCTAAATTATACAATTATTTACTAGACTATGAATTAGCTGAGGAAATCGTGAAAGGATCAATGGTAGCATGGGCAAAAAAAATTGGCCACAATATAGACCTAGACAACTGGGAAGAAATTTGGCAGAGAAATCTTACAGTAACAAAATCTGTATCTTATAAAGAAAACCTATATAAAATGATATATAGATGGCATCTGGCACCCTCCAGATTGACAAAAATGTACCCAACAGTAAATCCAATTTGTTGAAAATGCAAGGGAAACCATCGTACCTTCTTTCATCTCTGGTGGACATGCCCGGTGGTTAAAATTTTTTAGATTAGAATCAAAACTTGGTTAGAGGAAATTGTTCAAGGTGGATTGGAGTGGGAACCTAAATTGTACCTCCTGGGTATTATCAAAGAGGGTTATTCCCCCAAAGTAAAGGATTTGATTGTTCACATATTAACAGCGATATGAATCTCACTGGCACAATACTGGAAAACGCCTATTATACCACCTATACATTTTATCATCCAAAAAATTTACGAATGCGCTGAAATGGAGAAGCTAGCATTAAAATTAAAAAGAAAGGATGACTCGGCATTTTATTCGATTTGGGATAAATGTTATGATTAGTTAGAGCGCAAAAAAAAAAAAAGAATGTAGGAAATAAGCGGGGAAAATAAATCTATGAAACATATTATGACATATATACCAAAAGACAGGAATTTACAAATGTTAGTTTTAGATCTCCTCGCTCTTTGTTTAAATAATAGATAGAATATATTTGCAAAAACACATAATTATAATCCAACAACAAATAACAATAATAGATTATTATGTTTTATAGAGTATAAGTAACAGATAACTTACAGGATATAGGAAATAACTGCCATTTAATATTAATTATGAAATATTTAACTCACTATCAAATGTATTGAAGAAAGATATAACTAGTTTTATCATAGAAAGTGTGACGTTTATTTGTATGACTTTTTGTCTTTCATTTTTGTACATTTGTGTATATTAACTTTTTGTATTTAATAAAGTTTTTGGGATTAAAAAAAAGTATTACTTATAAGGACTAAAAGGCAAACAAACCTAAAGCATTTTACAAATAATTTTGTTAATTTCCACAGCAATAGAAAATAAATTTAGTCACATTTCATGATGAAGGATCATGTAAATATTTCATTTTCTCCAATTCTCCAATTGTTATGGACTGCAGTTTGTACACTGATTTACTAAAACCAATCAAATGGAACAATAAGAAAAACATATTCTAAAAAACATAAATTAGAAAATACAGTATGAAAAACAGCCTGATTGTAGAACAGTTGGTGCCCTACAAATATCTGGATAAGGGGGGTGACTTTCACTCTCCTTTAAAACAAGACAGCATTATAGTTCTTTTGAAAGATGTTTTCATAATGAGACACTTCCACCAATTGCTGGCTACTGAACTCAATTCATTGTGATCCTATGTGATCACAAACAGGAATTAGGTTATTTTAGTATGTGGCTTGTGTGATCTTATCCCAGTTAGGATAGCACCTGACTGATTTTGTTTTGGCTAAACAGGGTTGGGCTTTGTTAGTACTTGAATGGAAGATCAAGGCTGCAGTTTGAATTAAGGAGTCAAAGCAATAGTTGCCAAGAAAACTGCATGAATTATCCACAAAATTATATTAAATTTGATTCAGAGAAGATGAGAAGCATTTTATGAGTAGTGAAGAATGTTAAGTTAGGCAATCTTTTAATTATTTTGAGTATAAATGTTTCTCTTTAAGTTTAAGCTTTTTTAAAAAAGAGAAACAAAAAGTGGGAGCTGGAGAACAAGTTAAAACCCAACCATGAAAACTTATTATGAAAAGTAACAAAAACATAAACTGGTACATTTTTAAAAATATTTTATCATTTTCTTACACCGCTTTGAACTCAGTTATAACTACAGAAAGAATAATTATGGCATAATGCTGATATGTATTTTTAGTTAGAAGTTCTTTTTTAAAATAGGATTGACAAATACCTATATTTGCTGTGTTGCCTTTGTCTCCACTTCTTGTATAAGCAAGATCTTCCAGACGATATACATGAGGACCACTTGGTAGATCTATATAAAATGAGACAGATTATTGCTTCCTCAACTGTAACAGTAAAATTGGATTTTTAGAAAGATTCTATTTAAGTGTATTCATAGCTCATTTATATAGTTTTAATTTGGCAGGAAATCTTTTCCGTAAATAACCTACAGAAACACAAACAAGAAGTATGGGTAATTATAATTCCTACTCCCATTTTTAAGATCGCCCAAGGCAGGAAAAACTCTGATTTTCAATCAACAGTCCAGACGAGCTCACAAAAGAATGAGCTCAAAAGAATACCTAGACACGGGATCTTAAAATTTGTTTTCCAGCCGCGAGAAACAAAGCTTCATTATCTCCTTTCACTGAAGTCAAAGAGAAAGAAAATACCCAGTGAAAAGTTAACAAAGCTTTGGGCTCCAGTCCAATGATGTGCCAGGAGAGTGATAGGACTTGGATAAGGTGGAATGCATGTTCATCCCTTTCTCTGAAACATGTATTTCAAAGGTCTACTGCCAAAAAAAATACCACCAGGATACATTTATATCTACAAAACTTTCAATGGTTGCCAGAAAGATATGCAAAGATATAACAATCAATTAGTAGAGCACTTTTCCCCATCAAGATTATTTCCTTAGCAGATAACAAGTTTGCAGCACAGAATTTTACAGGTAAACTCACTTCCTCCTCTAGTTTCAAATTATTAAAGATTAAGGTGCGGTGGAAAGGTGAACTAGTGCAGTCTTGTAACTTACGTCTTGATAGCTTCAAAAAGCTAATTAAGTTTAATTGGAAATTCTTGGGAGTCTAACTCTTGGGAGGGAAAAGTAAATGTACAATTTTATTCATAATTTAAAGATAAAATGAAAAATATCAGCATGTGGTTAGTTTGATAGAATTTTATTCTTCAATAGATTTTTTCAAGCCTCAGAAATATACTATCTATGTATAAACATTTTTTTCAGGAACTGTTTGCTCTGTAACCCCTGGCAGTATTTCCGCTTTTTAAAACTGATTTTTACTAGCTTACTCCATCACACCAAATATGGTTTTATTCTGTTATCGGAGTTATTCTCTTAGTGGACAGTTAATAAAATCCCAAGAGACTTTATATAATTTATTTCCAACATTTCATTCTTAAAAAAAATAAAATGGATAAAAAATATATTGTAGACTAGGGGAGTCAAACTTGATTTCATTGAGAGCCACATCAGGATTAGGTTTGACCTTGGATGGGAGCGAGTGGGCGTGGCCGGGGTGGGCGTGACCAGGGTGGGTGTGACCAGCTCAAAATCGTGCAGCCCTCTGCCAGCAAAAACGGAGCCTGGCTGTGATGGCCTGCCAATGAAAATGGAGCTTGAGAGGGCTGCACGATTTTGAGCTGGCCACGCCTACCCTCCATTTTTTATAGCAGAGGCACCGCAAGCCAATCCTGCACTGTTTCCAAGGTGGCTCCGCAGGCCAGATCTAAGCACCCCGTGGGCCGGATAATCGTGTCTTATGATCATTTTACTGAAAGTCAGCATTTTCCAGCAAATCCCATGTATTTACAGCAAACAATTTGCTTAATGACTGTGGCATTCACTTTATGACTGTGGTGTTTGCTTAATGACCTCTGGAAAAAAAATCATAAAATTGGGTTAGTCATGTGACTGACCTACTTTACAATGGTCATGACTCACTATTGTAATGGGCTCCATTAGAATCATATATCAAGGACTACTCTTTTTCATCACATTTATTTTCTTCCATCTACATGAACTTGGCATTCTCATTTCAACTGAAAAAGAGATGTATTACTAGATATTTAAGAGAGGAAGATTGGTAGGAACTATATTAATAGTTGACATAATTTATTTTTTATCCCTTCTTTATAATTGAAAAAAAAAATAACTCAAGATGAGAAACATACCTTATACTCTTTCCTCCTCCTGTTTTCCCCACAACAATAACCCCATGAGGTCAAAAAGACTGGCCCAAATTCACCCAATCAGCTTTCATGCCTAAGGTGGAACCAGCCTGGTACCTTGACCATTAGATTAAACTAGCTCTCAATTTATTGTATATCTTGAATATTTACCATGTTGTTAAGTTAGAGAGCATCTGATTATTGTGAACTTATAGTTTTGAAATAGACTTCCTAAAAATGCTGGCTCAATTAGGGAATTGTGGATTAAAAAAAAAGATTTCTTACTGACAAATAAGAAACTCTTAGATTTCAGCAACTCCTGTACTTCATTTGATTTTCCTTACAATCAAACATGAGTATGTAATGGAAAAAGGTGAACGGTGCAACATATTCTGAATAAAGCAAGGCCTACACATAAAACATTTTACTTATGGAGTAACTAAACAGTGTTAAACAGCAGTACTTTCAAGGACAATATAGTGGAGTGGTATGCAAATTCGCACTTAACAAAAGGGTAACTGGATAACTATTTTTGTCAATCCATCTCATCCAGTTATGGGAATAAAATGAGTGGACTCCCAATGTATGAAGCCTTGATCTCACAAGAAGACAGATAATACAAGCTATAATAAATTCATAAATAAACAAACAATAGTACCTTTGAAATCTTCTTCAGACTGAGGCTCATCATGTGAAGCAGTTAGATCTGAAGTGAATGAAATATCTTCCTGAAATGTTTCAACATGTTGTCCATTCATAAATATATTGATCTGGAAAAATATACATTTTGATTTAAACAAGAAGATATTCTAATGCCATGAATATAAAAATCTATGAGAGTAGGAGTAATCTGTAAAGTTACATATGACTGTACAGTTACCCAATGAACATCTGTGTCAGACCTGCTCCAGGTAGGTCCCTTAGGAAAGAAAGACTCTTGACTGCATTTGTCCATTAAACATGCCCCCCTCTCCCACTTAGTTTTTGATGGCCGGATATCAGTGAGGTGCCAGGCCGAAGATGGCAGATCTGACATACTCCCCCCCACCTTAACAGAGACATTACTCATGTAAAGAAGACAAGAGGGGAGGGAGAGACACACGTAAAAGGCACAATTAGTTGAACAGTCATCAAAGCTTATCCAGATATTATCCAGATATTGTTCGTGGAATTTTTTTTAAGAAATCTGGATACTTTAACGTGTTTGGAATTAACCCACTATGTCTCTGAGGGAGGGTACTAAATATTGAGTTTTCCCTCAAGGTGTGCAAGAGTCCAATATGTCTTTAACCTCAAAGTTCTGTTCTCCCTTGATCATGATGGGATTGGGAGGTGGTTGTGATTGTGGGCATAGGAAAGATGTGGTTTCTGGCTTTAGAAGGCTGTAATGAAATGCCAGATGCCCGTGTCTAAGATTTTTTGGTAATTTGAGTTTAACAGTCACTGGGTTGATAGCTTTTTTTCTGGAAAAAGGGCCAATGACTTTGGGCCCAGTTTTTTGGAGGATTGTCTAGATTGCAAGTACTTGGTGGATAAATAGACTTTGTCTCCAACTTTGAAGTCCTTCAGTTTCACACAGCTTTTTGTCAGCTTGCTTTTTATGTGTAGTAGAGCCAGTTGACTGCTGGTGTGGGCACTGTTTGTGGGCTGGTGGCTTCAGGCTTCTTTTTTCTCTAGGAGGGAACTCCTCCACACACGACGGGGCTGATTCCTTGAACAAGCCATGTCAATTTAAACCTCCCTCAGCCAGAACTCATCAGGCATGGAGCATGTGGGGGCGGGGTGGTCCTGGAGATGCAAGAGTTGTAGACATCGTCATTAAGCCCATCCTGGAAATACTCTATTAGCATTTATTGTTATGCCAGGTTGCAAAATTCTTGAGTGCAGGAAGCTACAGACTGGTGGCCCTGATTTATAGTCTTGATTGTGGTCAGCCAGGGGATCCTGAAAATGCTTTTGCAGGACCCCCATGAAGCAGTTGAATTTCCATAGTTCTGGGGCAATTGGCATTGTGGAGGTTGACCATCCACTTGGCTGTGGTCCCTTCCAATGCCATTGTTATGCATTGCATCTATGCCCCTTCAGTAGTTATAACTGGGCCATACTCCTGCATGAAGGTTCAGACATGGGCTAGGGAGAATCCCAGTTGCTTAGGTTCTCTGTTATACTTCATCCTGAGAACTGATGATCTGTGACCTTTCCTTCTCAGTGGCACAGCCCAACCTAAGGCTGCAGGGTGGCAGCAAGTTGTGGAAGCCAAACCCTACACTTAAACTGCTGGGGTGAACAGTAGGCATGGCTGTGGCATCACTGGTGGGGACTTGCAGTATATAGGGCATGTCAAATTTTACAAGTTTCAATTTCCAAACATTAGGAGTGCTCAAAAGTTGTGACATGCCTTGGGGATTGTAAAGATATTTTAGTTACTTTAATATAATTTAGATGTGCTTGGAAGTAACTACATACATATTACAACTTTTTAACCTTTTGTTTGTTTCATTTGCAGCAGTTGGACAGTCAGAGATGCCATCCGTGCCAGGGCTTCTCGCGCCTTGAGGTTGTGAAAAGCTTCCCACAGGTACTCAATGGCACACTCAAGCATCTAGTCTTCCCAATCTGCCCCGCACTGAGATATGTCTTACTCCATCACCACGCAGGGTTCTCTCCAGTGGCTTCCCTGGCTCCTGCAAGTGAACGCCATCCCAGACGTCTTCCCAGTCCTCTTTCTTTCTTCCCCAGAGACCATTGGGGTCTTGGCTGGTTGCCACAGGCTTCCATCTTGCCCAGGCACTTGGGGGTGTCTATTCCACCATGGGACTTGAAGATGTCGCCTTCCCCCAGATTTCGACATCCTCCTGGTCACTCTTGTGATACTTTGCACAGCCCCCAAGGTAACGGTGTCTCTTCGGGTTGGCTGTTATTGCAGTTCTAGCTTAATGTCAGTGCTGCTCCAGATAGGCGCCTTAGGAAAGAAACACCCTCTACTTCATTTCGTAGGTTCTTTTTCTAAAGAATACGGACTGCAGCAAAGTCCAGCTAGAACTAAGTTTCCTGCGTGAAAAAGATACAAAATGTTTCCCCACATCCCAGTTCTCCCTCCATGATCTGTTCGTCTTCAGTCCATGAAGATTCACTTAGGCGGTTTGAGAACTCTGAAATATCTGGGGTAATCCAGATTCTTTTTCAGATGCGTGGCCTTGAGTGCTGGCACAAATTGATTTTGAGCTTCTGTCCTTTATCAAGCTGTCAATCCCCCTCCCTATTTTCCATCACATACTCACACAGGTTTTATTGCCCATTTGTTCCCCCCCCATGCCCCTCCCCCTTCCCTAGCCTTTGATGGCAGGGTGCCAGTGAGGTGGCAGGCCGAAGGAAGCAGACCTGACAATCGGACTTACACTCTTTTCTGTGAAAAATATGTTGATACAAACTTCTGTAGTGGGCATTGGGAGATTAGATTAGAAAGGCTTGTGCTTAAAGAAAGTAAAGCAAACATTACAGTTGCTGCACTTAAAAGCAAACCATATCAAGGTCTTTGTCACCTTCTTTTTAAAAAGTCAGTTCTGAAGATGTTTTAATAGCAAATGGATGCTGAAATAACTATGAAGAGATGTTAAAAAACAAGTTCAATTTGGAGATAACAAATTTACAATACTCCTTTATGAGTACCCACTACCCAGTAATCCAGTTAATTCATTTATAGCCAAATGACATAAAGCAATATTACCTGTTTAGTAGATGTTAAAAATACTTTGTTGAACAAAATATTGGTAGAATTGGTTTTTATTTCCCTTAAAATATAAAACATTAAATGATATGCATTCTAAAAGCACTTTTACATCTGTTGCTAGAAACAACACACATTCTGTTTAAAGTTTACATGATCACACCAAAGCTCGAAGAAAGCCACAATGATCCTTATTAATTTATTGTAAAGAAAAAAGGTATTCTGCAAATAAAAAATAGAATTTACATATTGTTATACAAGTCTTCGGATATAAATTTTTTGCAACAGATTTCATTTTTGTCAGATTGTGAAATATTTATTTGTATTACAGAAAGCCAATTTATATATATAAATTACACACATACATACACACACATGTATGTATGTATGTATGTATGTATGTATGTATGTATGTATGTATGTATCTCCATACATCAAGGAAATAGTATAGTCTCTACCACTTCCAAATGAATATAAGAGGGGTGTCAAATTTGATTTCATTGAGGGCTGCATCAGGGTTGTATTTGACCTCATCCCTCAGACCAACCCTCCCTCTCATGATAATCTTCCTTCCTTCCTTCCTTCCTTCCTTCCTTTTTCTGTTTTCTTCTTTTCCTCTTCATTTTTCTTTTTCTTCTTCCTTACCCTCTTTCCTTATTTTTCCTTCCTTGCTCTCTTCCCATCTTCCCTTCTTTTTCTTTCTTTCCTTTTTCCTTTTCTCCTTTTCTGTTCATTTTTGATGTTCAAATGCAAAAGGGGAAACATTTCTTGATGCCTCCTTGCCTTGTGATCAAATGCCACGTCTGCTAGTAGTTTGTTTTGCTAGCACTCTGTTTTCAGCTGCCATGGCTCCTCCAGCACACTGCCAGTGAAAAGGGAACTCGGGAGGGACGTACTGGGTTCTCCTGAGCTCCGTTTCAGCTGCCAAGGCTTCCTACGGCACTCTGCCAACCTCCACCAGGTTGTAGATCAGCACCTGGACGGCCTAGGCTGGGACGAGGCACCGCAGGTTGGTCCACTGTTTCCAGGGTGGCCCCGTGGGCCAGAACTCGAACCTTGTGGGCCTTGATTTTGACACCCCTGGAATATAGGATGGTGTCAGCCTTCAAGATTTCTTTCCTTTGCTTTGCATCTTTCGACTATAACAGGGGGAGGAGGGGTGGAATAGTTATAGGAAGCAAGCTGGAGGTTTCAGAGAATAAACTGTATAAGTTGGGGGGGAGAAGTATCTTGTTTATGTTTCTTTCCTATGCTATGCACCTCTTTATCAAAATATGTCAAGGTCAACGGACAGATGCCACATCATCACCTGAAGATGCCCACATGATGTTACATACAACTTTTAATTGGGTGGACAGTTTGGATTATTGTGGGTGGGAACGTTGCCATCACTTTGTATATGTGATTTATGCGCTCATTTTCTCAGATTCAGAATTCCTTTGATGCTACCACTCAATTTCCAGAAAAAGATATCTTTTCTCTAATTAATGGAGTCTAAGTATTTCTTTCTTGGATTTTGAATGGAGCACCAGCTGACATTATTCTGAATCTCCATTAACCAGCCCATCCAGAGAATTAATACTTTTTCTTCTGAGGGGGTCTGAAAACAATGTCTAACCCAGCCAGTGACCAAGAAGACCTGGGAGTTACTGGGAGACCAACTTCCCTGCTTTTAGATGCTGCAGGGGAAGCTGAGTTGTCAGCAGAGCTACATCTCGATGAGAAGGCAGCCGTAAAACCTAAACGGTCCCTGGGAGTCGGCTGGAAAGAATCGGAGGAAGAACACCCCCCCCCAGGAGTAACCACTACTTGACGGCATAGGAGAGAGGAACCATGGCAAGAGGATGAAAGAAGGAATATTTTATTAGCTCAAGCCCTAAATCTTCTGAATGAAGCTGTCGGAGGAACTCATGCTGATCAAAGGTATGAGAGGGAAAAGGGGGAGGCAGCCCCAGCTATTGAGAGCCCAAGTAGCTGCCCCCGTAAATCAACTGGCGGAAGCAGCCCAGGGCCCCCCAGCAGGGGGAGCAATTGCCTGAAGGTGTCGAACTCCAAAGGTGCCTCCGTTGGAAGTAAAATATGGAGGGGATCTCAAGGAGTTAGGATTCTTCCTGGCTCAAGTCTGGAGCCACATGGAAGAACATGGGGAGGATTTTTCCTCAGAAGTAGCTAAAGGCAGATGTGTTACCAGGGCTTTAGAAGGGACAGCTGCAAAATGGATGGTGACTTTGCATAATGATAATGCCCCCAGCTGATGAATTATGACCTGTTCATGACAGTGTTGCGTGCCAGATTTGAAGACCCACTAGCTGAACTCAAGGCTAGGATTAGAATGAAAACCATAAATCAAGGGTGGAGATCAGTGGCCAAATACACTCAGGAATTTAGAGAACTGGCGTGCCATATTCGAGGCTGGTCCCAGGGAGCCCTGATAGAAGCTTTTAAAGATGGGCTGAACGAAGATGTTTATCAAAGCTGCATTGCCAGAAGAGGCTCCAGTGAGTTGCAGCTCTGGTATGTGCTAGCAGCAGAAGTGGAAATTGATCTGACCCGAAACAGACACAGGGGTGGCAGCCCTCAAGAAGCCTCAAAACCTCAAAAGGGAGGGCTGGCAGCAAAACCCAAAACTACTGCATGCTTCCGATGTGGGAAAGAAGGTCACTGGGCTGCAAACTGTCGTGCCAAGCTAGAGCCAAAGGGGGCATCAGGAAGAGGAAGAAAAAACTCCAGTCAAGCTTCGCAAAACGGCTCTTAAAGCAGAGGACTTTGTAGAGATTGCCCTTCCGAAAGGAGAGGAGCTGGGAACTCCGACCTCTTCTGGTGAAAGTGAATCTGAATCAAAAGACGACCCTCTGGTAAGTCCAAACAAGGACCCAATGACCATCCCAATGAGATTAAGGGTACCCACATCGGGAACCCAAGGGGAAATATTGGCCTTGTTAGACTCGATGCACAAGGTGCGTAATCAGCTCAGAAGTTGTAGAGAAACTGGGTTTAAGGCTAAGGACTTTAAAAACTCCCATAGCATTTTGCCAACTGGATGGATCGGTAGCTGGGGGTGGCCCTGCACATTTCATAACAGAACCAGTGGAAATGTCGATGGGGAGGCATAGAGAGACTTTGTGTTTTATTGTCGCCCCTGGGATGGAGCACCCCCTACTACCAGGTTTGCCTGGCTCTGAAAGTGGAACCCCCAAGTGGATTGGAGGAGGGAATCATTACTCATATGCACTGATCAACCCTCAGAAAGGAAGGGGCAATATCAACCGAAACCCCAGAATTCCAAAGAGCTGGCATCCATGGGCAGTGAGAGCCTGAGGGGGGACGAGAAAATTCCTGAAGAATATTGGGATTTAAAGGAGGTGTTCAGTGAAAAACCTTGGACGAGCTTACCCCCCATCGCTCAACAGATTGCAGTATTGAAATTTTGCCAGGAGTGAAACTCCCAAAACCTAAACTGTACTCGACAACACCACAGGAGTTAGAAGAGCTGCAGTCATTTATTGATAAAAATCTTGAACGTGGTTTCATCCATCCTGCCTCGGGTAGTGGCTCCAGTACTGTTCTGCGAGAAGATGCCTCTCTTCGTTTATGTGTTGATTATAGAAATTTAAATGTGATTTCGGTGGAGAACATGTCCCCTTAATGAAGGACATGTTGGCCCCCCTAGCCAAAGGGAAAATTTTTACGAAACTCGATCTGAGAGAAGCTTACTACCGAATTCGAATCAAGGAAGGAGATGAATGGAAAACTGCTTTTAATTGCCCAATGGGATGTTTCCAGTTCAACGTTCTCCTGTTTGGTCTACAAGGGGCCCCTGCAGTATTCATGCAAATGATAAAAGAAGTTTTGCATGAACAACAAAGGGGTGCTAGTTTATCTTATACAAAGGGGTGCTGGTTTATCTTGATGATATTCTTATCTACAATGAGACTCTTGATGAACATGTGAAACTAGAGCGTTCAGTTTTGAAAAAACTTCAAGCTGCTAAAGTGTACGCGAAGTTATCCAAGTGTGAATTCCACCAAGGGAAAATTGACTATTTGGGCTATTGCATATCACATGACGGTATAGAGATGGATCCGGGAAAAGTTCACGCCATCTTGGAATGGGCCCCTCCCTGCATCAGGAAGCAATTGCAAAGTTTCCTGGGATTTGCTAAATTTTACCATCAGTTTATCCCGGCTTTTGCGAAGATTGTATTGCCTATTACAAATCTCTTGAAAACCAAGGGGGAGGTGAAACCGAAGCCGAGTAGGCTGCTGGAATGGTCCATGGAGTGTCAAGCCGCTTTTGAGAAGCTGAAACGACTTTTTGCCGCTGAGCCGTTGCTCAAGCACCCGGACATGGACGCTCCTTTTGTAATCCAAGCTGATGCGAGTGATGTAGCAGTGAGGGCTGTGTTACTACAAGCAAATGAGACAGGGACTCTGCAACCATGTGCATATACCTCCTGTAAACTAACTGAGACAGAAAAAAGATGGGCCATTTGGGAAAAAGAAGTTTTTGCACTTTGTTGGGCTCTGTTAACCTGGAGGCATTTTCTAAAAGGGGCAAAACACCCCTTTGAGGTGTGGACGGATCATAAGAATTTAGAGGCTCTAAAAATGCCTTGGAAACTGTCGCCTAAGCAAATTCGCTGGGCGCAGTACTTCAAACGGTTTAATTTTTCATTGAAGTACATTCCAGGGGGGAAGAATTCATGGCGGATGCGTTATCTAGATTGCCTCAATATAATAGTGCCCATCTGGAAATGATCTGCCCTATTGTCCCAACTAAACAGTTGGCGGCTCCAATGGTTATCAGGGCCCAGAAAAAAGGGGAAGTTGATTTATCAAATGATTTATCTGCACAGTTAAAAGAAGCTCTGAAACTTGATGATTGGTTCCTGACTCACTCAAATAACTGTATGGTTAGAGATGGATTGGCATGGGTGGGGGCTAAATTATATGTGCCAGCAAAGTTGAGAAACCAAATATTACAACCAGTTCATGATTCTAAAGCTGCTGGACATTTTGGGTTTGTAAAAATCTTACACTTGGTTAAAAGGCAATTTTGGTGGCCTACTTTGAAAAAGGACATTGAAACTTATGTGGTTAGTAGTCCTATCTGTGCCTCAGCCAAATGGCTGCCTGGTAAACCAGCGGGCCTGCTACAAAATGTAGCTAGACCAACTGCTCCATGGAAAGAAATTTCTATGGATTTTATAGTGGAATTGCCTGAAAGTGGGGAAAATACAGTTATTTGGGTGATAACAGAATTATTTTCCAAACAGGTACATTTCATACCTTGTGCAAAAATCCCATCTGCGAAAACCTTGGATAAACTGTTTATTTTACATGTCTATAGGTTATATGGTGTTCCTGAGAGGATAATCTCAGATAGGAGTGTCCAATTTACCCCAAACTTTTGGAAGGAGTTCTTGAAGTTATTGGGCTCCGCCCAGGGCTTAAGCTCCGCCTATCACACACAAACCAATGGGGCTTGTGAGAGGACTAACTTAGTATTAGAACAATATCTTAGATGTTTTTTTAATTATCAACAAGGTGATTGGGCTGACCTATTGCCATTTGCTGAAGTAGCATATAACAATTCGGTTCATAGTAGAACTGGGTTTACTTCATTTAAAGTGGCTTCGGGACAAGACTTTGTACCCATACCTGAGCTTCCACAGGAGAAACCTAATATTCAGTCATTGAGTGAGTGGATAACCCAACTCTAGCTTACCTGGCTGGTTACCCGTAAAGCATTGGATGATGCTCCTCAAGCTCATAAGAAATGTGCAGACAAAAAGAAAGCTCCACAGAAACAATATCAAGTTGGAGACGAAGTTTTCTTATCCACTAGATATTTGCAGACCACCCAAAAGTCAAAAAAGCTAGGGCCTAAAAATGTTGGACCTTTTCCGGTTGAACAAATTGTGAATCCCGTGGCAGTCCAATTGCAATTACCAAAAACCCTTAGACGAATCCATCCTGTTTTCCATGTTAGTTTATTGAAACCTGAACATACCTCTGACCTGAGACTGGCTCAGGTCGATCTCCCCGTTCCTCTTTTAATTGAGGGTGAACAACATTTTGAAATTAAAGAAATTTTGGATTCTAGGAAACAAAGAGGTCACCTCCAATATTTAGTCACCTGGAAACACCTTCCTCCTTCCCAGTCGGAATGGGTGAATGAGAAGGATGTTCGAGCCCCTAGACTTGTACAGGCATTTCGTGCTAAATATCCTGACAAACCTTAAAATATGATAGTACTGTGTCACATGTATATTATTCTTTTATCTTGTATTCTCTTTCTTTTATAGGGCTAACACCTCTTTTGCAGGAAGGCCGAATGTCAGCCTTCAAGATTTCTTTCCTTTGCTTTGCATCTTTCGGCTGTCATAAGCAACGGTGTGTGTGTGTGTGTGTGTGTGTGTGTGTGTGTGGAATATTTATGAGAAGCAAGCTGGATGTTTTTCTCAGATTCAGAATTCCTTTGATGCTACCACATTTTCTCTAATTAATGGGGTCTATGTATTTCTTTCTTGGATTTTGAATGGAGCACCAGCTGATAGATGGGGAAATTCAAAGTACGAATGCACATGTTGTTAAGTTTCATATTAAAATATAACAAATTATGTAAAGTTTACATTGTTGCAAGATAGAATATTGACCGCAGCAGTTTTCTACATATCCTTTTGGTAAAATTGATATTCTCCGGTTATCATCATTTCCCTTTCCAGCTTCTCTATTTCCACAATCTTATCTGCTTTTTCTCTCTATGGAAATGGAGGAAATACCATGCAAGTTCTAAGGAGCAGATAACCTTGGCAACTTACACTTTCCTCTTTCAATGTTATTCCCCAAATATTCTATTTTTAAATTTTCATATATTAGATTTGCCATTCTTTCTAGAAATAATGCTAAATAGCAGCTCCTACCTTGATATACTTCTTTGGATATAGGAAGAAAAATGGTTTGAAAACAGGAGTTCTGGAGAGGGAAAAAAGGTGCAAATTAAAAATAGATGTGAACAGGAAATACTTTTCAAATGGCTTTCATATAGTCCTTGTAACTCTTTAAGCCCAGTTTTAATGTGAGGGTATCAATTTAAATATTGACAACATAACATAATTATTGATGTTACCCACCCCCTCCCAAATTCTGACCTTCAAAAAATTACTAAAATGGAATTGCTTCAGAAAGCTTTTTGATTATTGCCAGTACCTTATTTGATTATAATTATATATGACAGATAATCCTTCATTTATGAACATTAACCTTGTGCCAAAGGTGCTGTTTCAAAAGTTGGACTTTCTTTGTTTTTTCTTTAAAAACATTTTGCTTTTCATCCAAGAAACTTCTTCAGTTCAGAGAATTGAATGACAGGGATCAGTGGTGGAATTTAGCCAGTTTGTACTGGTTCATGTGAACCGGTATCTAACTGCTTATGCAGTTGGAAAACGGCTGAAAATAAAGTGCAAGAGAAGTTTTTTCTTTCTTCTCTCTCCCTTCGGTTAATAGCTCCAGGCAGGCAGCCAAGAATCACTTAACAGGCTACTTAGTTGCAATAGCAGCCAACACATGCCTTGAATAAAGTCAATAAACAACAGAAATAGACAGGATTAGAGCAGGGAAACACCCAGGAAGCCCATCAGTCATCCATCTAGGGATGGGATTAACCTCTTCCCTTCAGGAAGAAGGACAAGATTACAAACATTTTCATTAAAAAGGGATATTAAGTAACACTTCTGTGATCAGCTGATACACCCTGGAATTCCCTAAGAACTTTTATAACTGCTGCAGTGTTTGACTACTTCTTGTTTCTTCCTGGGGGAAAAAGATATAGGAGGGGACAATGATGCAGCTTTATTTATTTATTTATTTATTTAATTTATATTGCCATCTATTTGCCCATGGCAACTCGAGGCAGCTCATACAATGTAAAACCATATTTAAAAAAACAAACAAACAAAAAAACAAAAACAAAAAGAATCAAATAAATTAATAAAGTACAATAGAACAAAATCTGGAAAAATAAAAAGTCACCCCCCAACTCCCATCTCCCACCCCGACGACAGCAGATCACACTAGCCATTTGATGGGCTCCATCCCGCTCTGGGTTCCCTAGGCCCACTGGCAAAACCAGGTCTTCAGTGCCTTCCGAAAGAGTGCTAGAGTGGGGGCCATTCTAATCTCTGGGGGAATGATATTCACCAGGTGTATCTCCCTCAGAGATGGGACTCGCAGCATTCCCTGCCTCCCTGCACTGATGGGTCAGGTAGATGTGACCGGCAGAAGATGTTCCCTCAGATAACCTGGTCCCAATCCATGAAGGGCTTTAAAGGTGATAACCAGCACCTTGAATTGCACCCAGAAGCAACTCGGCAACCAATGCAGCTCCCGCAGAAGAGGTGAAACATGTGCACACCGGGAGCTGCACAAAACCATGTGGGCCGCTGCATTTTGCATCAACTGGAGCTTCCGGATGTTCTTCAAGGGTAGCCCCATGTAGAGCGTGTTGCAATAATCAAGACAGGAAGTGACCAGGGCATGAGTGATTATGAGTAGGGACCGTTGGTTTAGGAAAGGGCATAACTGGTGCACAACCCGCAGTTGCATAAAGGCCCTCCTGGCCATGACTGCCACCTGCTCTTTGAGCAGGAGTCGTGAGTCCAGGAAAATCCCTAGATTACACATAGGGTCTTTTTGGGATAGTGCCACCCCATCCAAGAACAAAGGTGGCAATTCTCCCTGAGCCAACAAACCCCAAACTCAGAGTCACTCGGTCTTGCAAGGGTTTAGTTTCAACCCGTTGTTCCTCATCCAGCCCCTAACAGCCTCCAGGCACTGCAAGAGGGAGGACGCAGCAATACTTAACTCACCATGGGCCGAGACGTACAGCTGAGTATCATCAGCATATTGGTGATACCTCAGTCCATGGTGATGGATGATCTCACCCAGCAACTTCATATAAATGTTGAACAGGAGTGGAGAAAGTACCGAGCTCTGCAGAACCCCGTAAAGCAGTGGGCGAGGGCTGGATCTCTCCCCTCCTATCAACACTGACTGAGAGAGGCTGCAGAGGAAGGAAATGAACCAGGCCCCAGGAGAATCCCATGGTCAATGGTATCGAAAGCCTCTGAGACGTCAAGTAGAGCAAGGATGGATGCACTACCCCCATTCGCTCCCGCCAGAGATCATCCAAAAATATTTGGATTTTTTAAATTATTTATGTATTTATTATAATATTTACTAAACATTATTATTTATTACTTTTTTCATTCAATATTCTCATATGTTACTTTATATCAATCTCTATATTCTTAATATCATTTTATACATATTCTTGTAATCATATTTACAAATTTTATCAAATTATATCATTCAATTAATCATTCTTAAATTCATCTTAATTTATATTATCCAGTATTTATTCCTTTTCTAATATTAATTTTGCCACCATTATATTTTTAATACTAAGTCCCTCTCTAATCTCATTACATTACACAAATCATACTTTCCATCTTTTTTTCATTTAACAAATTATATATTCTAATAACAATATAATCATTTTTATCTATTACTATATACATATATGTTCTCCATTAGGTTCGATATGGCATTTCCTTCCCCATACTATCATATTGGTTTTCTTATATATTCCTTAAACAACTATATATCTTAAATAACAATCATATAGTAAATTCTTATTTCCATATTTATTCCAATTAAAATATTAATCCTTGTTTTTATTCTAATTAATATTTTATATATCTTTAATAATAATTATATGATAAGTATTAATTCCAGATTCATCAAAATCAATAATTATATCTTAACTAATAAAACACCCATTGATGTGGAATCCTTATCCTTCCCTTCTTCAACCATCATCTCTTACTCTCCTTACAATGTTAGTTATTCTCTTCCTGGCTTGCCTTCCATTTTCTATCATTTTTTGACCCTTTCTCTTACTCATTCCTGATGTCAGATCTGTCATTTCTTCAATGGAAGAAGGAAAGGGGGGAGGGAAGACTGATAAAGATATCCTTCTTGATGTAACCTGAATATATTTAATCTTATATCAAATTTGTATAACCTACACATGATACAATGGAGAGATGAAACCCAGATGGCTGGAGCCTATCACCTCTGAGAGAGACAGCCAGGAGATGAAGAGACCATAAAAATTCCACAGTGAGATGTGTCCTGGGAAACTCTGAAAAATATCATTATAAAAAGGGGGTGGGGGGGAATTAACATGTTGACTCTTTGTTTTACTAAATACACATCAGGATAAGGTGAGAGGTTTTAAACTCCCTCATCTCTGCATGCCTGAGAGACCTTAGACGCTGCTTTTACCCCTACATGAATTGTCTCATCTCAATAAAGGATTCCTTTTGATACGTTTTCAGAAGTTCATTCTAGTTGATTGAATGGGAAAAGTTCTGTAGCCTGACACCTCCTTTCTCTATTGCATTCCACTGTTTCTTTTTCTGGTTATCTGGTTTTACCCCCACCATCTCCAAATATTCTTTCTGTAGTTTCCTTTCCTGTTGATTTACCTTCAAAATATTCTCTCCTTGATTTATTACATCAATCATTAACATTTTAAATTTAATTTCCTTTTTGTCCTTTTGTTTTATTTTTTGCTCCCTTTTTGCTGGTTTCTCTTTTATTTAACTCCTCCTCCTCCTCCTGCATTCCTTGTTCTTCTGTAGTTTGTGTCACTATTTCCAAATTTTCTTCCATGCTCTATTTTATTCCATAAGTCCAAGCTCCTGTATATCATTTCTTTTATAGTTTGAAGTTCCTACACTATTTCTTTGCATATTTCACTCATTTTGGGCGGGGGGTTGGACTAGATGACCTACAAGGTCCCTTCCAACTCTGATTATCTGTATCTATTTTTATTTTGCTTATTTTATTTTTGTGTCCAAGTATCCAATTGTCCCCCAGTCTTTATTTAAACCAGCGTTTTTCTTTGATCTATAAGTCCAATCTCCTTAAGTCTTTATTTCCCAAGTTTAATAAGTCTATTCCTTTTTAAAAATCCAGGGGTAGTATCTTCATATATTCCTCCACCATTTTAATTTTAATGTTCCAATTTTCTGGGGTCTTATTGTAATAGTTCTTTTTATTTTCTTTTAAATTCACACTTTAAATAGGTCATAAAGTTTAAGGGATCTACAGGATTTTTTAACAGCAGGTGGTGGTCTTATTCCACTTTTCACTTTCCACCTTTTTTTTTCCTGTTTCTTTAAACTTTCATCAGTTTTGCCAACGTTTTCAAATGTTAGCTATTATTTTCTTTTTTTCACAGTCAATTTCAACATTTAAATAATGCCTATCCAACGCCAAATCCTGTACAATCACCAATTCCAATTTTATGCTCTTTTTTTGTAAACGTTTTCTCTTTGAATTATTTCCCTTCCATTTAAGTTTTAAAAATTAAATTTTTTACGTTTCCCAAATTTTTCTCTAACTTTTAAATCGACGCCAGTCCAATTCTTTGCCAGATCTCTTTCCTGTTATTTTTATTGGGGTTACCTTTTGTAGTTCAAAGTCTTTTCACCCAGTCCACACACCATTCACTGCTTCTTTGCTCCAGCATAGTCTTAGGTTTTCAGGCTGCCTCCCATCTCCATAGCAGCCATTTTGGCTACCACTACAGCTCGTCTTCGGAGGGGGTTTTCCTTTCCAGGGAGGAGAGATGCAGCTCTCCTCTACCTGTCAGGCAGTCCCCCTTTCTTCACCACCCCTCCAGAGTGGTTCTGGTCAAATCTCCATGGAAAGAGCACATAAAAGAGACATGGGTGACTTTCCTATCTTTCTGTAGTTGACTAGGTTGTGCCAGTTTGATGAAAGGTGGATGTTTCAGTTCTCTTGTCCCTGAGATCCTCTGCTTTTTGCACCCTGGTGCCTCCACCTTCCTGTCTTTATGTAGCTGCTTAGTGATTTCTGCTGCCATTGTCTGTCAGTCAAATGGATGTGTTTACCTGATGTTTTCACACATAACCTTGACATGTGAGACTGGTAAGAATTTCACAGGCTATGCCTGTGATGGCGAACCTATGCCACTCGTGCTGGAAGTGGCACGCAGAGCCATCTCTCTGGCCACTCCAGCTGTCGCCCATTGTTCTTCTGGTTTCTAGCGCGTGCAGCCAGCTGGTCTTTGCATGCATGGGAGCACCGAAAACTGGAAGAGCAGTTCCCTGGAGCACACGTGTGTGCCGACCAGCAGGTCTTCACATGCGCAGTAGCACCGGAAACCAGAAAAGCAGCTCCCCAGAGCGCATGCACATGCTGGCCAGCTGGTCTTCACGCAAGCATGCGCTTTAGAAACTGCAAGGCCAGGTGGCTGGTGGGCATACATGCACCGGGAAGCTAAGCTTCCAGTTTCCAGCGCTCCCACACATGCGCATCAGGGAGCTGCTTGTTTGGTTTCTGGCGCATGTGTGTGTGTGTGTGTGTGTGCGCACACTCCCATTTCAGCGCTCAGTACCAAAAAGTTTAGCCACCACTGGTCTATGCAGTCATTGAAGAATAAACTAAAAAGTAGAGAAAAATAAAGTGAATAAAATGAAATAAATCCAGTAGTGTAAGGCATGTGACAAGGCACCCCTTCTCCTTTAGAAGGACATCATTCTCACAAATGATTTATTTATTTTGTTAGATGTTTATCCTGTCTTTATTACTTCATAAGAACTAAAGATAGAGAACTCATCTAATATTCTTAGTTTCTCCACAACCACAATCTAAGAAGTGGTTTGGGCTGGGAGAGAGTGACTTGTCACTCAGCCATTTTTTCAAGCCTAAAATGGGACTAGAACTCAGAGTCTAATGGTTTCTAGACCAGCATCTTTACCACTACTTTGTTTAAAAAGGAGGAAGAAATGTCAAAATAACTTGTAAGAATTGCATGTGAAAACAGGGTTGGAGGAAACAAACTTCTAAAGATGCAAACATCACAGATAGTATTTCAGAATAATCTCCCATAGAATGATGAAAGAGACAAGAGAGGTTGTAGCAAATTACAATCTGAGATGGACCTGCTTGTAGGAAAGGAGCCTAGAATGAACAGTAATACTTTGCAAGATGCATCAAACCTGAAGTCAAGATGTTTCTTATTTATTTGCACAAGGCAGGCATTCTTTTTATTTGAAACTATTCACTCCAGTGAGGTGAGCGGCCGGGTGAGATAAGGAGTGGCTGGGAGGGGAGGGGTGAGGCTTGGCCGGGCATGGCAAGGAGAGGCCAGGAGAGATGAGGCGCCCCTTGATGTGATGTCAAGTTGGCCACACCCACCCAGTCACATGACCACCCAGCCATGCCTACCCAGCCAGTCATTAACTTACTAACATTACTAAAACTTACTAAAGTTGTCCTCAGAGTACCCCACATTTTTTTCACTTCAGCCAGGTCCTTAGAGTACTTTCTACTCCTTCATTTGAGTCAAATAGTAGAGATCAAACTCTACAATTCCTTATTGGATGACTTGTGTGATGTGAGACCTAGAATAGTCATATTGCAGCAAACTGTCCATCTTGTGTTTCCAAGCTCTAGTTAACAATTTTTGAGAGATACAGTGTAGCATTCTTAGTTGTTATGGTACAAGGTTCAAAGAAAACCCTGTGATTAATGTCATCTGTATCTCAACAGTAACTATGTTTTCTTGCTGGAGCCCTAGATTTTCAATTTTTTTCTGTAGATGAAACTTTGTGATTGATATTCCATAGACTTATACTTTATTTCTAAGTTATGTATTTTGTCTTATAAAGATATTTCTCAGATTCATTCTTTTGGCGTAATAATATTTTCTGGCAATTTTCATCTCTTGGAGTTTTCATCTTTCAAGAAATCCTTAAGCAGGTTATCAGCTCTTCTCAATTGAAATTCTTATATTGCTACACACGTTGTCCAATTTGCTCTTGCTCACCCAAATCAGCTCTTTTTGGTTCACCAGCTTTAATGCAGTTACTTACATCAACACACTAAATACTATAAACAACCTATAGTCCATAGGAAGAATTTCTCCAGTGAATTGCTTAAAGCACACTGACAAGTATAAATTGCAGGCATCCATTTCATAAACAATAGCAAAACAATCTTTTCTCACATAAACTCCCCACAAAGTAAAATGAAAGAGCAGATGCGGAAGAACATGTCAGAGTTTCTATTATATCAGAACTGCCTTCTTTCGGTAACTTATGACATTGGAATCATTACTTTTAATGAAGCTTTGTATATTGAAAACTAAGCTACTGCAGTACCCTTCTTCAAATCATGCGTGTCCTGAATTCATCTTTAACTTCCCCAGCCAACAATCTGGAGTTTAGGATGCAAAACCATTAGAGCATCAGAAAAGAGCAGTAATTAATATAATTCTCTAAAAACACCTTACATTTTTGGACGTCCTCCAATAATTGCAGTGACTCCAGGTGCTAAAAATGAATGAAATGAAAAAGTCAACACAGGAACATTAAAAAGCCAAGACAGTTCATAAAGAATGACTGTAATTTTCCGTGTCATAAATATACTCCAAAGCCATTTTATACTTTCATAAAGAGCTAAAATTAAATTCTAAAACAGTAATGCCATTTAATGGAATATTAACAATTTAAAAACATCTAGGTCAAATGATAGGATTAGGTGTAGTTATTTATTCAATTAAAATAAGAGAAGGGAAAGTTTCTTTTCTTTTTCTTATTTTAAAAGATATCTACAGATGGTCTTTGGCTTACAACCAATGGTGAAATGTTCAGCCCAGTTCAGCCAAATCAGTTGTAAAAAAAAAAGAAGCTCTGACGATCAGCTGGGAGGATAAAGAAGAGAAAAGCGCAGGATCGACCCTCCCACCACTGCTTAGAACCATTTGTTTAGCAACTGTAGGAAATTACAACAACCACTGAAAAAAGTGGTTTACAACCGGTTCTCACACTTACAACTACTGCAGCATCCCTACTGTCATGTAATCAAAATTTGGGTGCTTGGCAATTGGCATGTATTTACAACAGCTGCAGTCTCCTCAGCCACACAATTGCCATTTGTGAGCTTATCCGTGGCTTCCAATAAGCCAAGTCAATGCGGGAAGCCGGATTCACTTAACAACCACAGTAATTTGCTTAATGGCAAAAAAATAAATAAATGTAAAATTGGGCATGACTCACTTAAAAACAGCTTTGTTTAGCAACAGAAATACTGGCCCCAATTGTGATCTGAAGTTAAGGGCTACCTGTACTGGAATGAAAGTATGTGAAACCATGAAATCTTAATGAGAAATTATAGGGCTGTAACTGGACCAGTAAAAAAATACTTTTAGTATCTATCTTATGGCAAAATGCATTTAAATATTAAATCAACCGTTCAATTAATATAGATTTTTTTAATAGCAAAATACAATTTTTTTAAAACAGCATTTTAAAAAATGAATAGAAAATTTAAAAATTGCAATGTGTATCAATTTCAGTCTGGAATATGCATTCTAGTTTTCAATTATCTTCTGTTTATTTATTTCTGTTCTAGTAGAAAGAAAACAAAAATAATTGATTAATTCAAATCAAGTCTTTATCACAACTCCATGGCCAAAAGTCAGATACAAATAACTGCCCAATTCAGGTTCAACCCTAACATTCCTAGGATTAAAGTCAGGATTTGGGCCATTTCAAACGATAACTTCTTTTCCTTTAACATTCTTTAGTCATATGACTTATGAATTTTGGATAATTCTTGCTGTATTACCCAGGTATTACATTAACATTTTTCTGTATATTTTACTGGTCCAGTTCAGAATTCATAGTTCAATCAATGATGGCAAGCCATCTTGCATTTTTGAGACAGCAAAGCAGGGTCAACCATGATACTGCCACCATTATATTTTCCAGATGGGATGAGGTATTTATGCTGGAATCCAGTATTTATCTTTCACCAATCAACACTTTTCATTGAACCCAAAAAGTTATATTTCAGTCTCATCTATCGACATCCAGGACATTTTCCAATAGCATTCTGACTCATCCACATATTTTGTAAAATGTAAATGAGAACAATATTCTTTTTGGAGAGTAGGAACTTTCTCCTTGCAATTCTGTCTCACACACACCATTGTGTACAATATTCTTCTGATGGTGGTCTCATAAACTCTGACTTTCACCAATACAAGAGAATCCTTTAGTTCCTTAGACATTACCCTGAGATTCTTTGAAATCTCCTGGAGTATTTACACACCTTATGATTGGTTAATCATTCCTACCCTGTTTCTCCAACAATGCGGCCTTCCCCCAATAGGAAGTCCCAGCATGTTTTATAGGCATGAAATGAAATTAAGCCCCTCCCCCCAAATTAAGGCCTATATTAAAACATGCGAAATGGTGGGGAAATGGTGGGGGGGCTTGCCGTTAGGAAGTACTTTTGTTGCACACCCGGATATGGTGCTGCCTGCATTGACCCTGATATGAAGTGCCCCACCAAGGGGTCCGAGGTCAACATCCAAGCCATCACCGCCCGCCCGCCCGAAGATGCAAGGGGGGGGGAATTAAGTAACCCCCAAAAAGACGGCCTAGCCATTTTTTCGGGGCTCAAAAAAAAAAAAAAAGACCGGCCTTATTATATGAGAAACACGGTAGTAAGGGTATCAACAGTGCTGAATTGCCTCCATTTATACATGATCTGCTTGGCAGTGGGCTAATTTTTTGGAAATAGTATTGTGACATTAAGAATTATTTTTCAGAAATACCCAGAAGCCACGATACAGTTCCACAGCACATTGTGTTGTTAAGGTCAGACTTTCTTAGTGAATCCTCAGAATTATTAGAAGAAAAGAGCCTCAATGGTGCAGTGGTTAGAGTACAGTACTGCAGGCTACTTCTGCTTACAGTCAGTTGCCTGCAATTTGGCAGATCGAATCTCACCAGGCTCAAGGTTGACTCAGCCTTCCATCCTTTGGAAGTGGGTAAAATAAGGAGCCAAATTGTGGGGGCAATATGCTGATTCTGTAAACTGCTTAGAGAAACTGTAAACTGTAAAGCACTATAAAGTGGTATATAAATCTATGTGCTACTGCTATTGCTCAAAAGTAAAGAGTCTAAAGGCAACTCTAACCACTCTGAAACTCAATGAACAAAGCCAGAAATCCCAACCTAATGAGACTACACAAAATAAAATACAACAGGGAGCAAACTTTAAAAAAAAAGTGATGACCCCCATATATGAACATAAAGAAGGAAATCAATAAATCCAAAATTAAACACAATATGAACAAACAGCTTCATAAAAAATGAGCCTACATATGCTAAAGAGCAAGACCAATGGAAATATGTCATTTTAGAAGAAAACAACAACCAAGAGCAAAGCCCCTGTTTACCCTAGCCCACTCCAATGAAGCCCTTCTGGAATGGAACAATAGCCTCTCCCTGGAAGAAAATATATGGACACTCACAAAAGAGCATTCATCAATAGTTTCTAAAACAAGAGAGACAACCCAGCATCCCTGTGATAGAATGAAAAGTATTCCAGACTTCCCTAGGGGGAAAAAAAGTGAATATTGATGATAGGAGATTTGATTCTTAGGGGAACAGAAACTATAGTCTGCAGACCAGCCAGTCAATCTATGGAGTATATTGTCTCTCTGGAGCAAGAAAGATGTAACTCAGTACCTTACTAAAATAATCAACCCCATGAATTTACTGTCCTTTTCTTCTCCTATATGTGGGGACTAATGACACAACAATGAATCTGAAAATAATAAGTGATTATGAACAGCTAGAAAAGAAAATTAAATAATTAGGAGAACAGTGCTGTTTTCATCTGTACTTCCAACGAAAGGCTAGCAATTAATGAGGGAGCAAAGGATTTTAGAAATGAACCACTGGCTTAAAAACTGGTTTCAACAGAACTTTGGCTTCCTAGACCATGGTCTGTTTTACCTAGATAAAGGGCTACTGGCAAGGGATGGACTCAGTGGTGGGATTCAAATAATTTAACAACTGGTTCTCTGCCTATTGACTGGGTGGGCCTAATAACTGAGTGGTCATGTGACTGGGTGAGCACGGCCAACTTGAATGGTTTCACTCTTAGGAAATTTCTTCTTAGTCCAACTCATAATAAAAATAGCATAATAAAATAGCACTGTTCCAATATTTAGAATAGAATAGAATAGAATAGAATAACAGAGTCGGAAAGGACCTTGGAGGTCTTCTAGTCCAACCCCCTGCTTAGGCAGGAAACCCTACACCACTTCAGACAAATGGTTATCCAATCTCTTCTTTAAAACTTCTAATGTTGGAACATTTACAACTTCTGGAAGTATGTTGTTCCACTGATTAATTGTTCTGTCAGAAAATCTGAGGGGCTCCTACAAAAATGAGGGAGTCAGTCTATTTTCCAAAGCACCAAAAGGCACAACAAGAAGCAACGAACGGAAACTAACCAAAGAGAGAAACAACCTAGGACTAAGGAGAAATTTCCTAAGGGTGAGACCAATCAACCAATGGAATAGCTTGCCTTCAGAAGTTGTGGGTGTTCCATCACTAGAGGTTTTCAAAAAGAGTGAGAGAAATGTGAGAGACAGTACCAGGAACCACTAAAACCATGCAGAAAACTTAAAACAGCCATTCCTCCTTTAAAAAGAAAAATCAAAACACAAAGCAAACACAGCAGCTGAGAAGGAAACTAAGAGCAGGCTAATTGAAAGCCTGGGCATGCTGCCAAAAGCCATTAACCCTTCCAACTCTATTATTCTATGTTCTCTATGTTCTAAATTGGGTACTTCACAGCAGAAGCAATACAGCTGGCTGGACCACACATGCATTAAATTCACGCCTGTATGATCAAGCTGCATTATTGTCCACTCCTGTATCTTTTCCCCTCAGGAAGAAACAAGAAGTAGTCAACACTGCAGCAGTTATAAAAGGTCTTAGGGAATTCCAGGGAGTATCAGCTGATCACAGAAGTGTTACTTAATACCCTTTATAATGAAAATGTTTGTAATCTTGTCCTTCTTCCTGAAGGGAAGAGGTTAATCCCATCCCTAGATAGATGACTGATGGGTTTCCCTGCCCTAATCTTGTCAATTTCTGTTGTTTGTTGACTTGATTCAGCATATGGCTGCATTCCAGCTGCAACTTTTTAAGTGGTTCTTGGCTGTCTGCCCAGAGCTATTAACTGAAGGGGGAGAGAGAGAAAAACCTCTCTTGCACTTTATTTTAAGCCGGTTCTCCGAACTGCGTAAGCAATTAACTAACGGTTCGGCCAAACTGGTGAGAACCAGCTGAATCCCACCTGTGGATGGACTGCACCCCATAAGAACTGGAAAAAATATATTCAGAAAATGACTGATCCATCTTAGCAGCAGGGCTTAAACTACAATTGAGGGGGTGGGGCCCTTCTGGTGAAGATTTGGCCAGCAGCGAGTAAACCCAGCGAATCTCCTCTGTCGCTTTTCCAA